ATGAGCACGCACACACACACCCCCATACACCTACACACACAATGTACATATATACATATATATATACATATATATATATAAATTCAGTGTTCATTCTCATATATTTTGCTTCTCAACGAAAAATTATGAACACGGTAGAGCATTTTGGGATTAAACAATTTTTCAAACATACCATAAGCATACTGTATACGTTTTCCTACTGATTTATATATTTTTTTTTTACTGATTTACTGATATTTTGTGCTGCAACAACACAAAATGTCTTTTGTTTAATAAAAATAAAGGAGAAATCTTAGCTTTAATTATTATCCCATAACTGAAACTATTATTCGGTAAGCACTTGGTTTGTGTATTATACAATAGCATAATTTTATTATATCATTTTGGCTTTTAAATTCACCTGGCCTATTGCTTTCAGAGGATGAAAACTTCATGCAAAGTAACATGATGGACAACATTAATGGCTATATGTACGGAAATACGCCGGGTCTTGATCTATGTTACGGAGACACTGCCGACTGGCATGTGATGGTATTTGGAACTGAGCAAGACATACATACACTGAACTTCAATGGAAACTTTTTGGTATTCATTTTTACTGTTTTAATTTTCTGTGTAGGCCTAGTGGATACATCATTCTGTTCACATACCTACGAAACATAGGCATAGTAAAATAATATGTTCTAGAGGCTTTAAATTCACCACATACCCCACTGGCCCAGTTGTTAAAGGCGTGTAGTAATCATCAGTAACTCGATCATTAAACCTATGTTAATCTTGCTTAGGAATTTAGAGGGCGCCGAGCTGACGGTCTTGGCGTTTCACCTGGAGCCATGGTAACGGCAACTATGTTTGCATCTAATCCTGGCACCTGGTTGGTAGACTCTGGCGTTACCACGCACTACACAGGTACGATTAAACAACATTTAACATAATAGCTCGCTCACGTTTTCACAGACTTACCCGTAACCTGCATATATTTATGTACTTTTTTTTAAGTGTTTGCTCAGTAGCACCGTAAAGTTATTTGTAATTGTATGAGTAAAAGTATATGGGTGTTAAATCTGTGTCTATCTGTCATGGCCTAACCATGGAGGTATAAATTATTAGAGGTCTATAAACGGTATAAAACTAGACTTGATAGCAAGAGGCTGGGGGTTCAAATCCCGCCAGAGACACATTACATTCATGCAACTGAAGAAGTAGCATTTTGTTCTTATTTGAACTCTATTTAATATTCATCTTTTTGTTTATATATGCCTATATGTAGCCTATATATACGGTACAATATAATAGCGATAAAATCCAAATCGTTTTACTATTTTCGACAAAACTTTCAATCCAGTACATTTTGCAATCTACGCTTCTTCATTAACAGCAGAGGGTTCTATAGATGTGAATCCCTGTTGGTACAGATAGGCATCTTTTGCAAGGCATTTGGCAGACACTGAGATTTTTTTTCCCTCAAACTCGCAGGTGCATATTTATTTCTTATCTATTTACTATATAGTGCTTTGTGACCATAATATGCCGATGTATAATAATATTACATTGATCTTATTTTCGGATATTAATTAGCTGGATCTTTAGCACTGTACACGGTAAATGAAAATTGTGGTTTAAAGCAAACAATTGAAAAACTGTCTGGCGTTGTCAGGAAATATTATATATCTGCCGAGACGGTCGAGTGGAACTATGCACCATCCGGAGAGGATATGTATAACGGCGGCAACTTAACGGACCCAGAAAAGTAAGGACACAATAATGGAGACAAATTAATACATTATAATGCATGACGATGCAGATATAAGTATGATTATCTTAATTGCAATATACAATGTTGAGCCGTTGGACTGTGTTTGAATTACTGTTATTGGGGCGATTTTTCACACTCGCAGATTTTTTTTCCGTTTAAAATATAGGCGTATATATTTGAATGAACATTTATACTGTGACATATTTTATTTTGACATAAGTTCTTCACTGAATATTTTTATTAATGCATATATAGAGACAGTGCGCACTTTTTTGAACAAAGTAATACTAGAATCGGTGGCACATACTACAAAACAAGATATTTTGCCTACACTGATGAAAGCTTTACTATGAAGATCGATCCAAAATCGGGTGAAGAACACATGGGCATTCTAGGTCCTGCTATTCGAGCCGAAGTTGGAGACACGATAGAAGTGATGTTTAAAAACATGGCCTCCCAGCCGCTTAGTATTCATCCACATGGAGTTTTCTACGACAAGCAGAATGAGGGACAACTGTACGGCACCAAATGTAAGTTTTTGTTAACTAATAATTACTGTAAATGGATTCACATTATTACAATATAAAATAGTGATGGCAATAGCAAAAGCAATGGCAACAGCAACAGCAATAGAAAAGCAACAGAGTCTGAAGCAGCCGCAGAAACAGTAACAGGTCCCCCACTCGTAGGCGCCACCCCAGCTCCACTGCTGCTACTGCTATACTGCTCTGCTACAGCTACTGCTGCTTCTGCTACTGATACTAACCCAATTGAAATAACAACACTGTTACATTCTGCACCTAAGAAATGCAAAGAATACTCCTTTAGAGTTGAAATAACTACTTTAAAATAACAGTGAACGCATAGTACCGTATATTTTAATGAAAAATGTAAAAAAAAAGAAAGGTAATAAGTAGTCTTATTTGACTATATTATTACCGAAATTATTGGACAGAGTAAGTCAAATTATATCTCAATATCAATATTGTTATTAACTTAATGATCGTTATAATTTATTATTATTTATTTACGTAGACAGCACAGAGTGCAGCAGTGTAACTACCAACAACACGTGTGCATACTCATGGACTGTTCCAGAATATGTGGGACCGACGGAAAATGACGGCGATTGCTTATCTTGGATGTATTATTCTGCCGTTGACATTCAAATGGACTTATTTACTGGGCTAGTTGGGCCACTGGTGGTCTGCAGACCGGGAACGCTTGACGCCACTGGAATGAAGGTTATCTAATTTGCAAACAATGATATTTCCTTTACATTATTCACATAACATGTCCCCAGGGTATAATTAATGAATGCTGTACACTATGTTACTATGATTGCAAATTGCAAATGTAATCCAAAATACTATAGGATAAGATGCATACCACCTAACAGAAAAATAGTATGAATTAGGCCTATAAAAGACATTACAAAATTATAGTAACATCATCAACAAAGCTAACTCATCTTGTTTGGTCAATTTTCTCAGAATACAAAGGTTGATCGAGAGTATTTTCTATTCTTTACAACATTCGACGAGAATTTAAGCCACCTTCTAGCAGAGAATGTAGAATTCTGCAAAGAGCCGGGTGCAGTTGATTTAGACGATCCAGATTTCATCTCCTCTAATCAAATGGCTTGTGAGTACTGTACATTAATGTTTTACTACCATGATTATCATATTATGTTATATTGTTTGCATATATCTTATATATTGCCTAATTTTGATATTGAATTGAAAGACCATAGTGCCAGTTTTGCCTGTATTTTTCAAAAGAACTTTCATGTAAATGGCGGGGTTTTTTGGTCTTGCGATTCTATTTATACACTAACACATTGTGCACACCGGGCTAGTCTTCCTACACTTCCTAAGTGTGGAGATCTCAATGGCCTAACATTTCCAGAATCAAACTATATCTTCTGATCAGCCGATTCTACCTAAAGTGATCAGTTTCGGTGACAAATAAAATGCTGATACACTTCTATACTGGAGACAGCACCATTCGTCAATAATCTGATGAGAACCCCATAATCTGGTGTGGTGACGGCATCATGAATGGTGCTGTCACCGAAAGTGATACTTATCAGGTATGTTAGGTAGAATCGGGTGTTTCGATTGAATCTCCTCAAGCATTAACATTGCTTCACGTGCCGTTTACGTTCACTATCCAATACGGTTATATTTTGTGGTTGTCGAGAGAAAATTTCTCAAATAGTGTGCGGGTGAAACTATTATGTGGCATCTTATGGACCTTGGCAAAGAAACGGATGAAAACACTGTCTATTTCCACGGCCATACGTTTTTTAATGACGGTTCCCGCTCCGACACTGTAATGTTGTTTCCTGGCCTTTATAAGACAATTACAATGGAAACGTCTAAAATAGGTAAGAGCCTCACTTGATTTTTTATAAGTACGTGGGCCCATCCTTAGAAATGGATGCGACAAATAATATAACCTTTTCAAATTGATGTCATCAATATTATTAATTTCTAGTGTTGCTAATTTTCTCGTTTAATCCACGTGAGGTAAAACTACTTCTGTGAAAACAGAATTACCGAATAGTTGTATGGTGGTTCGAAACTAATTTCGTTTTATTTATAGGAAAGTGGGCGATTGAATCGCAAACGTACGACCACTTTAAAAACGGAATGCAAGCCATGTATACTGTCAATGACTGTCCGGAATCTAACACCATTAAGGTGGAATTCACCGGCGTAGATAGGGTCCACTATATCGCCGCCATCGAACAGGAGTGGGACTATGCCGAAGATATGTACGACGGGATACACGACATCAGTTTAGTTGATTCCCGAAGGTAACAATTAAGCTGAAATTCAGTGGTGATTTTATTGCTAGTACTACAGCTTATTAACTAACTAATGAACCTAATGACTTACAATGGATCGTCAGTACTCTCGTATGTATGTGGGTGTGCGTATGTATGTATACATAATTACAGCTTGATATGTGAGTTTCATATTGACTGCCCATCGTATATTCAACCAGAATATTATGTGGCTCATTCCTGAAAATGCTTCAAAATTATCAATTTCGCTTTTCGAAATACTGGAAGCAACTTGGTAAAAAATGGAAATATATTAACGGGTACTGTAACAGCACTCATGCTATTTACTGTAATTCATTTACAAAAAAAAAAAATAAGGACATCAAAGGCCCATAACAACACATTTTAATTACCCATAATCATTAAGTTATTTAGTACCTGAGTGCAGTATCAATTTCAGTATAAATATGATGTGTTCAACACTAACTACATAATTTACTTAATATAGACCCTATCAACTTTTCAGAAAATTATAATTTGCTATACACAAAGTTTGCCATTAAACAAACTAATCATAAATTTGGTTGTTTTTTTTTCAGTAATGGGTACATTTTTGTAAATCGTGGAGATACCTTTATTGGACACAAATACAAAAAGGCTATATTCAGAGAATTTACGGATAGTACTTTCACCACTGAGATACCGAGAAACCCTGATGGAATTCATCTTGGCATTCTTGGTCCAATTCTACGAATGAATGTTGGGGACAGGCTCAGGGTTGTTTTTAAAAATCTAGCAAGTTTCCCCAGACGATATTCATTCCATGCACACGGAGCTTCTTACGACAAAACAACGGAAGGTGCATTGTATAACGACGGCTCTTACAGTAAAGGCGATGGAATCTTACCCGGTGAATCGTATACATATCAATGGGTTGTTCCGAGTACAGCAGGACCTAGTGAAGATGAATCGACCTGCAAAACTTGGGCATATTACTCTAGCGTTGATCCAGTCCGAGACATCAATTCTGGTTTGATAGGTCCGCTTATTATCTGTAGGCCCGACACCATAGCAATAGACGGAAGCCGGAGTGATGTTGATAGAGAATTTGCGGTGCTGTTTACTGTGATGGATGAAAATAAAAGCTGGTATCTTGAAGAAAACATCAATACATACTGCTTCAAGCCGGAAGAAGTCGACGTAGAAGATGGCGACTTCGAAGAGAGTAATCTCATGCATGGTATAAATGGTCGCATTTATGGAAACCTTCGTGGCATTGAAATGACTGTCAATCAACGAGTTGATTGGTACATTATTGGCGTCGGTAATGAGGTGGACGTGCATTCTGTACATTTTCACGGGCAGACTGCCATATACAAGCACGCGACCGTACAAAACGTTGATGTTTTTGAGCTCTATCCTGGTAAGTACGGACTCATCAACCTTCTGAATAAACTAGTGTCTGTTTAAAGCCGGTTACTAACTGCGTGCGACGGCAACGCGACGAAGAACGCACGCAAAGACGCGGACCCAACGGATCGTCTTTTTAATGAGGATCCGTTCAGATTGCCACTGACAATCAGCAGACGGCGTTGCGTCGCCTATCGCTCGCCGTGTGGATTCGTCGTGCGACGGTCGTACGAGGCAGTGAGTGCCCGGCTTTATGAGCCATTCCGGCGAAATGAGCATTTAAATACAAAACTAATTTAAGTGTCAGAATGCAATGAAAAGATTTTGAAAATGACACTTACAATTAGTGTACAAAGGGCCTTTATATGAAGATGACTCATTTTAAAAACATATTGATATATACGTTACTGTTTAGGAAATAACATAACAGAAGTAGCATTTTCCCGATAAATTATAATACTTTTTAAGTAATATGATCGTTGAAGTAAAGCCCTAGAATGTAGGACTACGGTATGTCATAATAACTTACTAAAAAGTGTTTTTCTTACATAACCCATGGAGGTATAACCTATCCACAACGTTAGATACAAATCTCGAATGTAATAGTTACGTTTAGTGTTTGCTGGGCAGTCGGCACGAAGTGCCAATGACCTTGTGAGAAATATATTTACAGTCGGAGTCAAATGTTGTTTTTTTTAAATATACATATTATATATTAACCATTATTGTATTACAGGTGTTTTCCAGACAATGGAGATGGTTGCTGATGATCCCGGTCAATGGTTGTTACATTGTCACGTGAATGATCATTTAGCAGCAGGCATGGAGACTACCTATACAGTATATTACGGTACGTTTTTTTCAAATGTAATATGAACGCGCGACACAACGAGTGACGACATTGGAAGAGAACATTTACTGATATAGTACTTGCAGCAATAACAACAATCAGTGACAGTGAAAATAACTGAATAATGTTGTGAGCGTATATTTGACATGGATTTGATCATGGACAAGAAAAGAAACGAGAACATTGATGGAAATAAACATAAAAAATCTTAGAGAAAAACAGTGACATAGAGAGTGAGACAACGAGAGATACAATCGATAACGTAGAGGAACACCGAACATAACATAACAGTGACAACGACAGTGAAAGGAACAATAGTAATGATTGCTGCATTGCTGTGGACATGAATATAAACATAAACTGCATTATGGATAAAGCCATGGACTAGACAGAAACGAAAACAAAAACAATAAGAATGAAATGTCGTCATGAAAAATAACAATAAAAGTGGCATAAATATTGACATTGACCATTACAGTCAATATTAATGACAGTAAGCAATATTAATATAAATATAATGTAGAACGACATGAACATAAACATATAAATGAACTTTAACATTGACAGTAACGGTAACAATAACATGGACAAGGACCGTGACAGAAATAGTGAAAGAACGACACAGAAAAAATGGCAGATTTGATATGGTTATAGTTAATGACAATTACTGCTTTGTGTTGATTGTATCAGGGTGTCTAAACAACACATAATGAAGACAGGCACCCAATAAAATTTAGGCATTAATAATCTAAAAAATTATTTAAAAAAAAAAAGGTGTAAGTGAATATGGATATGTACAGTACTGTTAATATATATTTTTACATATACTCTATTAATAACTTTGATTTACTGTATAATAAGTTCAAATGATGCTTCTGAAACCTTTTCGTTTGTTTCCATTCTTTTAGAAAATCCGATAGCGGGGGAGGAGGAGTCTAATAAACCAGTCGGATTGATAATCTCGACTTCAATTCTGGCCACTGCTTGTGTTATCTTAGTTATCTATATCGTCTTTATGAGCCGTACAAGTAGAGAGAATCATAAGGAGAGTACCGTTTATGTCAACAGGTCCAATCCTAAATTTTAATGCATGTAAAGCAAGGATGGCAGTATATTATAAGCTTTTCATGATCGAGAAGGATAGAGACGAATGCAGAATAGTTGTATCAGAAGTATGAACCGACGTAGGTTGTTCATAGTAGGCCTAACTTTATCCTGAGAGTGTATAGTGATTATCTGTATACACACATTAGACAAAATGCGTGCGGCCATCTGCCATTAACATAATGCATATTTTCTATCTTTTGATGATTATAGTAGGCCTATTTAAATACATTCTACTAAAGATTCAGTAAACAGTAGTATACGGTATTTACTGTATACAGAATCGTCATTTTAGCTCCTGTCGTTGTGGAATGATGTGAACATGGTGTTACTAAGCACCACTCTACGGCTGCTACAGTAGTCACGAACCATGTTTAAGCAACTTAGCGTAATGACATTTACAGTTACTTGTTATTTTTGTACTTTTCATAATGTTGTGCAGTTACAGTTTTTTTAGTAAGAATATAAATCAAGCAACTCACTAAGCAAAAACTCTACTTCCAACCGTTTTATTGAATATCATAAACGTCAAAATGTATTACAATGACACCTACTCAAAACAAATACTCACAATTAGTAAACAATTCAAAGAACATCTTTAAGTTTCATCAAATATTTTGAGGGATGATTAAAGAGCATCATAAATAGTTATCAAAATAATACACGAAGATTAGTTTTAGCTCCCGATACATACTAAGCTAGTTGCCTTATATATTAACACTTACAATAATCATTAAAAACAAAATTATGTTGATTATAATGTTTAACATAATAGTACTGGTTTTGAAACAAGTGGTGACTGAAATTTATAACACTCTGATAAAAACATAAGTTTTCTGAATGCAAATAATAAATGTTATAAACAGAGATCATTCCATTATCAATGATTATTGATAATTTTGTCATAAAAAATACAAAATGTTCTTTAGAATATAAAGACGAGATATCTCAGTATACCCAAAGAATTGGGACAACATCAATTGCACATACCTTGTTTTGGCAAGTTGATGGGATTATCGTTGGTAAAGTCATTCAGAATAAATTAGCATAATAACTCACATATAAAAACCGTCTTTTACAGTAAAAATATTGTTTCAATGTTAGAAATTTTGATAGAATGATTATCAATTTTAGTGACTTACTTCTTAATTACCAGCGCTCATGCACAAATTTTACGTTATAAAAACGTTGCAGTTTGGTGTTCAAAGATTTTAAAAACCATGAATACGTATTTCTAATGTAATTTCTGACCAACTAAATTTGCTGCAACGCTTGGTTACGTTATTATTCGACATAATCTAACCACACCTTTAACAATGTTTAGTCAATTAAGGCGTAAAGTGGGTCCACCCTAAAATTGTCCCGAACTGTTTGAAAATCTTGGCTACGGCATTGATGAGGTCATATACATATACAAACACATACAGCTTCATGAAATATAGGCCCTATAGGAAAAAATCTCCTTTTTGACTCAATTGTCAATCATTTTCAACAGATCATTACCGATAGATTATATTTACTAGTTTTACTTTACCAGAGGATGAACAATTATCAACTCTTCTGTAGTCATTGTTTCAAAATTACATCGCCTTAATCAAATTATGTGTTATTGATATTTAGATTAATTTCATGAATTGTAATAATAATAATAATAATAATAATAATTAAATGATAATGACGATGAAGATAATGATGATTATACGTTTTGTGAGTCTATTTATAAATAAATGTGCATAGGACTAGTTAAAACTGTAAACGAACTAAAGTAATACATATAGAATGATATGCGTAAATGAATGATATGTTGGCTTACCAAGAGTGGAAAAATATATATCTTAAACTTTCACCCTTTTTAAACTTTCGTGTCAACCACAAATGAATCGGAGTATGTAGAGAAATGACAATTGCATAGGCGGCGATGAGTCTGATTTCGATAATGTCAAGTATTTCCAATAAACACTTTATTATTTCCAATAATTGAATAATGATTATATTTATAAGAACTTAATTAGTTTTAGTATTGACATGAATATTTCATGCTTACATTGAATACAATAAAACAATTCGTAAACCACATATCGTACATATATCTAAAAATCTAAAAATGACATTTAGGCCTATCTTTAAAAAAAAACATTTTCCATAGACTATATCAGAAACTTTATCTACTTTTGCAATAACAAAATCAAGTTAATATACTTTCTAAGATGTGACAGTATGTATAATAAATATAATTTATGAAAATATGAGATAATATTACATGACAAATTAAAAAATGTGAAATATTAATTATTAATCTGTTACCATTTCTCATTACTAACATTTGAATTATATGTACTAAGGTGCACCGATTCAAAATTAAAAGAATATACATGTAATCTAACACATAAAAATATAAATACGTTCATATATTATCGTTTCGTGTTAAGAGATCGGTCAAAAATATCTAGCCTAAGTCACTGACACTTTAGCTTTCATCGACACCACGACTCAACAAGATATAAAGGTGGGTGTGCGTACTTCCACGTATCGACATGTCCTGGTTGCGTAACAGCGCGTTTAGAATGCACGAATCCTTCGTTTGTGCCATAACCATGGCGTTATTCTCTATAACTTCTTATGTGAACCATGCCACTGACATGTTCGAACAAAGTTTTTTTTTTCGAGTGTTCGTACACGTACAACTTGAATCTTGTTCCTCGCAGTATAATTATGTCACTTGTTGCTCCAGTCTGACTGACGTCACTGATAATCAATTTCTTCATCCAGTGCCGCATATCGCGAACTACTCCCACGTCGCTCATGCGCAGGCATCTCACTCAGTTTCGATTCATATGCTGACCTAGATGTCATCGGCTGATTTTCATTTATATTTTCAATGATAATTTCGTCTGGCGGCACAATACGTGTGTCCGTATTCTCCTGCGTGTTTTCAACACGCATTTCAACAGGATCTTGCAAGTCTTCCACATTCCCAGTGTTGTCTGGTGATGCCTGAGGGGGCTCCATTGCTACTGTGTCAGAGTTTGAACGCACCCGGGGGTCGTCACCATTGGCTGAGCCCACGGGTTTGAATTTGGCCTGTTGATTCTCGCGGTGTTTAAAGAAGAAATAACAGCCCCAGCAGGTAAAAACAAGTAAACCTCCAACCACAAGTAGAGATATTTGCCACCACGTTAGTCCTGTATGGATATAACATAGTTGCGTTAAATCAATCTATCAGTACTGATATTTTACAACAGAACGTGCTTGGCATTATTGACAACGTATGATTTTAAATATCTACAGTGGCGGATTCAGGGGGTGGCAAAATTGCTAACTGAGTTTGAAATCAATAAGATAAGAGATTACAAACCGGAAGGTTTAAGGGCATAGCTTCCTGGACCCCATATGATAAGTAAGGAAATACACACACACTTCAAACCATAAGTCCTCCATTGCCACCCTATTTAATTTACTTATAAAGGAACTACGGGAAAAATAAATGTAAAGTGTCAATGAATGTTTCAGAAGATTTGAAGCAAGCAATAATGAATACTAAAGATAAATACAATATGTGACGGCTCCCTCAGCGGTTGAGACGAACACATTGTTAGTATGCTGTTTTATTATCATTAATATTCCTGCAAAGACCAGTTATTGATTCAAGTGGTTAGTAATTGTGTATTAAAATATTGTCCTCTTGTATATTAAAATAGTTCCACGCCTTACTGTGTAGAAAAATAGTTCCCAATATTGTACAGTGCGGTTGATGCACAGCCCTGATTGTATTTTAAACATACTTTTTGTAATTATTTATTGTGTTCCTGTTATTATTGTATGTGCGCTAACGATTATTACGCAATCCATTCTATATTGTATGTCACCTTTTTGTGAGGAAGAATGTATGTATTAGCAATGCATTAAAGTATGAAATACTGTTCATGTATTATTAACATTATTATCATTAATATTGTTATTATTATTATTGTTTTTATTATTATTATTATCATCATTATCGTTATTATTATTATTATTATTATTATTATTATTATTATTACAGTATTATAATTATTATTAACAGTTTTATGCTAATGTTTAAAATAAATTACCTAGTTAATAATATATTATTTATTATTTTATGAGTATAATATCTGAAAGATATTAGGAAGAAGAAAACATAAAAAGATGTTCGCTGTACATTATAATAATGCCTATATACTGCACCTACTTTATAGGCCATATCATTGCCTATATTCGCCTATACTTAGAGGCATATCGAACGAAGATATTTAACATTTTATAGTCATCTAATATATGCAAAGATGCGTATTTGTGGTGTTAAGAATATTTTGAATGCATATATGCCCCCGACACCACCACCCTTAAATTGCAACTGACGCCTGTATGTATTGGGTTTACAAACGAATCAATAGTGCATACTCTACTTAAAGCTCACACAACACAATACCATATTATGCATCATAAACGAAGACCGTGACGACTTGACAATTACAATCTAATAACAAAATGCTCGACAGACTGGGTTTATGGGCATCTGTAACAATGTAACCGACCTCTATAACAATGTAACCAGTCCGTTTATGTTCGCACTCATGAATATTAATAACTTAACTATTGTTCCTCCAACTTAATATGAATATATATTATTTTTCTTCAAAGTAATAATGTGCATTATTATATTCGTATCGGTTTTATACAAGACTAGTTATACTTTAATGTAAGTATATAAGACGTATTATATAGATCATATTTACCGTAAATACTGTATACAGTATTATATAATATAATAGTATATATATATACATATGTAAACCAATACATAAATAATAATAACAATGCTCAAATAAGCATAAATGATGATGTCATGGTGTCTCTGGCGGGATTCGAACCTGCAGCCTCTCGCTATCAAGACGAGTATCATACAATGATACCACAAATACCTTTGGTATAATTGTTTATTCCCCATGCACTGTCTCTCATAATACTAACTTTTGCGCTCGCACATAGTGAAGCTGGTCAAACTATAAACTGTAGGTTACAGCCAGGAAATCATATTAAACAACTTAAAATTAGATTTGCTGCGTAGCTCCGTATCCACAACATAAGCAAATAGATAAATGCTTAAATAGTAACAAAGTCATAATTCCATCAAGCATGTCCATTGCAGGTACACAAGACTATATGTGTGTGTGTGTGTGTGTGTGTGTGCGTGCGTGCGTGCGTGTATAATTACATGTCATATATAAGAAAAATAAGAAGTAGCTACATTGACAAAGTGATAGGCATCAAATAAAACTCGGAAAAAAACAACCATTTGTCAGATGGCATTATCTAAAGATCGGTTTAGAGCTTATCGCTAAGGTATAATTTCAGAGATCCCGTTTAGTCGCTAAAAATGCTTAAAATGAGGCGTATTGATCTCATATTACGCAATGCATCGATAACTAGCGGGGTTCCACTCATGTGCAAGAGTGTGAAATGTAGTTGTTTCTAATAGGATTTTAATTACTAAATAAACGCCAGTGGCCCGGTTTGTTGTCTGCATAGACAGCAGAAGGGCCATGTTTTGAATCCAGGTTTAGGAAACTTTTTTCACTTTGCAGATTCTCCTTTCACGTTCAAAATGTGTATGTGTGATGTGTAATTATAATCTGTGATAGGCCTATTATGGTTGACTTTACTGTATATCTATCTGTAATGTATTTATGACGTATAGGGATTGATAAACCTACCGGTATTTTCGAAACTAATGATTTAGATTTACCTGATTCTTTTGGGTCGTCGTTTCCATTCGAAGTTGACTGAGTCGTAGTAAATATGGCTACAAAAACAATGTTGTAATGATAAATATAATAATAGTAATAATAATAATAATAATAATAATAATAATAATAATAATAATAATAATAATAATAATAATAATAGAGTACATGTTTCTATAGGGTAAATAATTGCAAGAAAACAATATATGGGCTCGCACCCCATATCATTTTGCATTACAACAAAAAATGTTCCCAGGAAACGGAGAAGGTTGTAGTTGCATGTTTGTCTCAATGACTAGTGGTAACAGCGGTATGAAAAGTTTTTTTTCCGAATTGCGGAAGGCACTTACATGCTTATTATTAATATTTAAAGGCTGGAATGCTATTATCAATGGTGCTATATTATGAATTGATAAATTCAACTAAAATCTACTTACGTACTATAGCGGCCGATAAATACACAGCGACAGCCAATACCCTGGTTGTCGAAATTGTAGACATGTTTGCTGAAGGTGAGTTTCTATAATTCTGGAAATAAAAGCACAATAAAGAATATATACTAGGCTATCAAACATTCTGTTTGATACCTTTATTTAATATCAGCTACATTTAATTAAGTATTATGAACTAGTGTCTATAAAGTCAATATCTGTCCGCTGTACCAGAAATTAAATGAAAAGTACAAACGATCAAGATTTGACCATGATCTTAAAGCAATTAAGAAACAAATACAGGCCTAATATCTAGAAAACTTAATGCTTGATATTAATGCTGTTTTACCTGCACTGTCCACGATTTCTGTTATGATGGCGTCCGTGCTGTGTATTCGTCTTTGTTCTTATACCATTTTGAATTACGGGATAAATAAACGGCCGAGTTGAAACGATCACACAATACGCTTATATTACACAGTTGGACTGATCAAATTTCTCATAGTATACATTTGCAACATCGACGTGCATCGAACCCACGATCAATAGAGCCAATAGCAATTAGAATATGGTATCGTGCACAACACAATATCGTCTTTGGATATTCTTCCGCCCTCTTATTGTTTATGTAAGGAAAGAAAAATTGCATCAACGACGTGATGACGGCGTTTGCTATAATAAATGTCTAACCGTGAACTACCGTACTAAAGCGTTTTTCTGCGTTATTCTTATACACAAAGTTAATTATTCGGTTCATGCAGCTTTGGCGTTAATTGATTTGTATAAGTAATTTGCGAATAGGATAGTAGTAACTAATTTTCAAAGGTAACACATTGTTGATTATAACTGATTAAATAATTGTAAAGTTTGTTTTGAAATGCACACCGATTCCGCGCTGGCAATGAACAACGAACCAACGAACACTGACGTCGTAGAAATTATAACCTAGTATCACTTTGGCTACCAGTGCGTGAGGCTTAATAACAACATAACGTGTTTCTACATAATTATATAGGCGTATTGTGCATAAATAATACATTATTTATGTAATGTTGTTAGATAATTTTCCCCCAGAGCGATAGACCCTATTAGCTTATGTACCCAAGTGATAATATAATTGAAAATTAAATTAAATTTGTTATTAAACATGTACCTAAAAGTTCGAAATGATAACGTTACGCATGGTTAGGTTGTTAGAAGGGATGTGTGAAGAGTGCCCCGTCTATCGTTTCTTCTCTTGGCGAAATAGTAGACACAGAAGTTGACACATTTCGTTGATATCTTAAGTGGATGTAGCGAGTCCATTGATCTCACATTTTAATAGCATTTGCATCAACACAGCGACCTCAACGATATCGACATAGGCCTGTACAGTACGCATATTATTTCTGCTTCTCCAATAAAATATATTATAGGCTATATATATTATATATATAGGCCTATATATATATATATATAGGCCTATATATATA